TACGTGAGTGGAAACAAAGAGTAGGTTTGAGTTTAACCGCCTTCGAGAGCGGCTGTAAATGACTCATGAAGAAAAATGGTCACTTTGAACTTTGGTGCCGTGAACATGAGTAGAAGTTAGAAAACATGTCTGTCATCAGTTTTGGTGAAGCATGATGTCAGGCTTACACATCTGTACGTTATGCAAGCCGATGAAAATAACCCTTCTTACCCAATCGAGGAGCCGACAGAAGGGCCGAGCCGGGGTCAGAGGTTCAGCTCCAAACTCGACTGTCGATTCACAAAAACAACGAGCTCACACTCAGACGTGTGTTTCTAATGTGTACCGACAGAAAGTTAGCTGGCTTCTGTGCTTCTTTAGCAATTTTTGAACAGGGGTGCGAGCGGGATTGTGAAATAAGATGAGAGATTGTGATTGTTTAAGGGTCCAGGAATGTGGAAATGGTTGGGGGAGGTCTGGGAAGGCGAGAGTGAGGAGCAGCAATACGTCAGGAGGGAGCAGGGAGGGATCCTGCTGCAGAAACCACGGACTTTCACACAAACCACCCCATCTGGGTTTGGATGCACACAGGACTGCATTTAGCAACACACACCCACACACACACACACACACAGGTCACGACCTCCTTGTGTGACTTTCACAAACCCAGAAATATGTGCAGAGAGACCTGCGGTGTGCAGCAGAGAACACGCTGCTCTGATTTTGTTTAGAGGCAACAAAGCTACAGACAAGTTTCAGCCCAGAAGAAGTTTCACTCGTTAGATTCTTTCCAGTTTGTTTTCTTACTGTTTGTGATGAATCTCAGCTAAAGAAAACAGATAAAGAGCGAGACCGCCTCCCTAAAAAGACCCCTTTGGACGAGGACTGGATCACAGAGCATCTCAGGACAGGAAATTGGAAAACCGGCAGGAATATGAGGACAGGCTCAGCTCATGGTCTGACAGTCCTCGTGATTAGTAAACGACCTCACACATCCTGTGGAAACAAATGAAGATGGCGTGGGGCGAAAGAACAAAAAGGATGGTGGGGGAGGAGGAGGAGGACGCCACAAATCAACCTCCCAGCCAAGCGAGTGTAGGAGAGAGGCCGTTTGTCAGCGCTGCCCAAAGACCTCGACTCCTGTAACAGGGAAACGTCTCCGCCGTGATCAGACGCGATGCTGAACACGATCGTCCATCGACTGAAACAGTTACAGAACTTTAAAATAGGTTTTTAACTTTAAACACTGAAATGAAAAATGAATACATGGTGGAGAAAGGGTGGAGGAGGCGGGGGGCACGGGGGCCATAAAGCGTGTTTGGCGAGCGCTTCAGCGCTCCCTGCTGATCTGCAGCATCCATCACAGGATGTTTACAACAAGCAGGCTGCAGACGAAGAGCCAGCAAGAAAAGAACTATTGATACATTTTTTGTTAAGGTCTGAAATTCACAGCCAGCTCTGACATGGAGACGTCAATCTTTGAACGCTGAAAAAGCAGCAGTGCAGAAAACGCATTATACGCTGCAATAAATGCCGAGTGTCCCCTCTCACACGGCCTTTCAGCGGCAGCAGCAAACAGGTCGTCAGAGGCCGATGTGATGATTAAGTTTAACATTGTCTACAATATTGCCAAAGAGAGCCAAAGCACTTTAAGCTCGAGCAGTTTTTCAGTAACTTTCTGGTAGAAATGTGCTTCAAATAAAGGACTTTGTGTTGAAAAGTTTGTTAGTTCATCATTTACAGATGAATATTGTCTGCATGGACTGAATTTCCCCTCCTTAAAGGTGCGCTTGTAAAACTGCGTGTTAAGCGATGCGGCTGAAAAATTTGGGCGCGCATAAGAAAAAAACATTAGTGCAACCGTGACAAACGTGAGTCTGCAGCCCTGCCAGTGTTTTTTGCAATATGAAGTTTTTGCTTAGTGCTAACTCAAATGTGGGAGTTTATCCGAGTGCTGACCAACACTCACTGCACCAGTTTACACCCTGACCTACTTTCATGGTAAAGATCAGTGAAACTTTCAGACTTTAATATTCAAACATTGCGTGAGTGTGTAAAAAAGGTCCTGAAAGGTCAAAACACAGTTTTCCAAAACTATTGATGTTCAAAAATATTTGATATCTGAAGCTAAAAACTTCCAGGAATAATCCGACTTGTTCAAACTTTGTACCATGTTGCTGCTGATCAGAGATGGAGCAGAAAATACTGTAAAAACAGCTGATGTGAGATGAAATGTGTGACTTATGTCAAAGTATAAAAGTTTGACTTTAATACGAGGCTGAAACAGAACACGCAGCCATCGTTTACTTCCTGTTAGCAGCTCAGGACACATCTGACTGTGTGACTGCATGAGACAAAGAACCTTCAATCTTTAGACGAGGCGCCACGATAACACCGTTTCTCTGAAAAACGGGATTTTTGATTTTGTGACGTTGAGATGAAGATTTGGTGCCATCCGACATCTTTAACATCGCTGAGACATTTGAAGCAGCTGCTGGTCTTCTACGGTTGCCAGAGATCATCAGCAGGTTCATCCGTGTGTCAGCGTGGCCGTGAAACTCTCAGCAGAGGAAAAGTGACAGAAGATCAAACAGGACCTACCAAAAACCCTGCAGGAGGCCACAGATTACGCAGGCTGCACCAAAAAGGTTACACAACTGAAGCTGCAGTCCTCGAGGCCGCTTCGCTGAAACGTTTCTATACGTCGCTGCTGCAACACACCTGAATAAAACCGGCTGCACGCTGAGGTGCCCGCCCCCACTTTAAATAAGTGTTTAGAAAACTGTACTTTTACTGCACCACGTTCACTCCTGCGCTGCTGTGACGTGAATCAAACGGCTGAATCGCCTCAGCATCGAGAAGCGACCCTCTTACAACGGTCACCTCCTCAAACAAAAGACACGAAGAGCTGAAAGGTTATTTGTAAAATACATTTATTCCCTTTATATTTGGGCCAAAGTCTACAGAGCAGAGAGGAGATTTATGCAGCGGTTATTCAAAAGGCAGCATCAACGCTTCATCGGCGCTGTCACAACATCTTCCTCTTCCTCCTGCGATGACGTACCAGACACAGATATTACGATACAAAGAGAAGAAAGGCATACACTGTTTCTACAGCCTTCATTATTTTCATTAGTACGATACATCAGAGCTGTACGTCGCGCTGTCGAGCGCCGCTTAGTTAACAAGGCAAAGTTTTAATTGGTTGAGAAAAGCTACGGTTATATGGAGGGTTACACGAGACGCTATGAGTGAAAGGAGAGGGTGGAGGGCCGCGGGGCTGCAGCTAGCGTCGGCCGATGAGGCGGGAACACGGGAACTGCGCGTGCACGGGTCAGCTCGGACGGCGCCGATAGAGCCGCGCTCGTTACCATGACGACGAACAAATAAACATGTCAGATTAGACCAACGAGGCTCAACCGGACGAGGCTGCTGCAGTCTTTTCAAAATAAGGGCACGATGCACAAAATGACTCAAATATGACATGAATTTAAGATGCAACATTAATTATTATTGGTGGGCTTTTAAATTTCTGCTTTTAATCGTTTTTAGTTTTATTTGTGAGCAAACACAACCAGCTCAGGACGACCGGGTTGCTGGGAAACACACGTGACCAGTACACGACTGCAGGAATGAGCGAACATTAAACTCTGAGGCGTGTTCTGATGATCATCGTTTACCAGCGCACGGGGTCAGAGGTCACCGACTTTGGTTACAGCTTCAGATTAAACATTTCATTCCCTGACAACATCCCACAGTATGACCAGAGGGGTGTGTGTGTGTCTGTGTGTGTGTGTGTCTGTCTCTCTGTGTGTGTGT